ACTCTAGTCCTTATTGGCCTGTACATAAGGCCCAAATTTAGATTATGTTCTGTGGGGGGGATTACCGACTGAGGTGTGAATGATAGGAGATATTACTCTCTATTGAAACAGTTCTTAAGGTGCAAAGTGCAGTGTGGTGTTCGGATATCACTAACAGTGAGGTGTGACATTAGCCTTTAATGGTATGGTAAATACGGGTGAGATTTGCATACCTTTAGTCGGGTATTGTTGATACAGTATGTGATTTTGACTTGTAGTGATATCATATACATGTGGTACTCAGCGTCACATGTGTGGCCCTGGACGCTACATATGTGGCCTTAGACGCTACATATGTGGCCCTGGATGCCACACATGTGGCCCTGAGAGCCAGGTGCATCTACCTAAGCTAGAGGAGCAGGAGGCTGAAGGCTCAGGAGGAATCCTCAGGTGAGTGAAGGAGTAACTCTTAAAAGGACGACATTCAAGGTGCTACAGTGAGAACTTGCAACTAGGAGTACCAGTGGTACCTTAGGTACTAGGAAGACCTTAGCGGTACCGGCGGGGTACCACTAAGGCCGGTGATACCGGCGGGGTACCCCTAAGGTCAGTGCTTGGGCCCTCTTACTATTCTTGTTATATGTTAACGACCTGAGAGACGAAATTGGCTCGTTCATATCAATGGTTTCTTACTTCAAGCATTGGTCTCTGGTCATTCAATCGCAAATGAAGAATTGCCTAGTTATTGGAAGGCAAAGGTGATACTAATATACAATAAGAGAGAGAGACAGAGAGACAGAGAGACAGAGAGGGGGAGAGACAGAGAGAGAGACCGAGACAGACTGGATAAGGTCTACGACTGTGATTTGCATCTACAGCTTTATCTGAGGGTAATTTGTCGGAATTGGTGAAAGCTGTAGATACGAGAGAAGACTCGATCTTATCCTGAAATGTCCTCTCTCTCTCTCTCTCTCTCTCTCTCTCTCTCTCTCTCTCTCTCTCTCTCTCTCTCTCTCTCTCTCTCTCAGCTCCCCAGGGGACACTTACTCAGAAGGCAGGAGATGTGGGCGCTGAGGAGAGGGAAGAGGGGAACGCCGTAGTGGGAATGAAGAAGAAGAAGAATAGGGGCAGCTAAGATAGAGGGGAGGTGGTGATGTGAAGGTGGGAAGAGGGGTTGAAGTCAAAGATAGGGATGATAATGGAGGGGAATAGTGGGGGATTCATTTGATTTCAAAGACAAGGTCTTTACGCACAATAATCCTCGGTGTTGCAGGTGTGTGTGTGTGTGTGTCAGGTGTGCAGGCAGATATATATATATATCTTTACGTCAACGTTCAGTTAATTTCTACCAGATTATTACGTGTGGAGTGCTGGGCGGCCCAGAGAGCTTGACATACAGGCCGAGAGGTTAGCGGATATATGTTAATAATCACAGGAATGTGTGGACAGGGACGTCTACACTGAACTATCCCAGGAAGGTGTGGATAGATAGTCCCCCACGGTAGCCCCCACGACCATAGGCACCCCTCCACCTCCCCCACACAGATCCCCTGGAAGCCCCTTTCCCCCTCACACAACTTCCCCTGAAGCCCCCTTAAAAGAGTGAGTGACTGTTCAACTATTTACCAATTTTCCGCTAATCTGTGGGCAAGTGTCGAGGTTCCTGGTGACACGTTCATTATAGTGTGGCTGTGGCAGGGTGTGGCCACGGTGCTAGGGTGTGGCTGTGCCAGGGTGTGGCCACGGTGCTGTAGTGTGGCTGTGCCAGGGTGTGGCCACGGTGCTGAAGTGCGGCTGTGCCAGGGTGTGGCCACGGTGCTGTAGTGTGGCTGTGACAGGGTGTGGCCACGGTGCTGGGGTGTGGCTGTGGCAGGGTGTGGCCACGGTGCTGGGGTGTGGCTGTGCCAGGGTGTGGCCACGGTGCTGTAGTGTGGCTGTGCCAGGGTGTGGCCACGGTGCTGTAGTGTGGCTGTGCCAGGGTGTGGCCACGGTGCTAGGGTGTGGCCACGGTGCTGTAGTGTGGCTGTGCCAGGGTGTGGCCACGGTGCTGTAGTGTGGCTGTGCCAGGGTGTGACCACGGTGCTGGAGTGTGGCTGTGGCAGGGTGTGGCCACGGTGCTAGGGTGTGGCTGTGCCAGGGTGTGGCCACGGTGCTGGAGTGTGGCTGTGCCAGGGTGTGGCCACGGTGCTAGGGTGTGGCTGTGCCAGGGTGTTGCCACGGTGCTGGAGTGTGGCTGTGCCAGGGTGTGGCCACGGTGCTGGAGTGTGGCTGTGCCAGGGTGTGGCCACGGTGCTGGAGTGTGGCTGTGCCAGGGTGTGGCCACGGTGCTGGAGTGTGGCTGTGGCAGGGTGTGGCCACGGTGCTGGAGTGTGGCTGTGCCAGGGTGTGGCCACGGTGCTGGAGTGTGGCTGTGCCAGGGTGTGGCCACGGTGCTGGAGTGTGGCTGTGCCAGGGTGTGGCCACGGTGCTGGAGTGTGGCTGTGCCAGGGTGTGGCCACGGTGCTGGAGTGTGGCTGTGCCAGGGTGTGGCCACGGTGCTGGAGTGTGGCTGTGCCAGGGTGTGGCCACGGTGCTGGAGTGTGGCTGTGCCAGGGTGTGGCCACGGTGCTGTAGTGTGGCTATGGCAGGGTGTGTCCACGGTGCTGAAGTGCGGCTGTGCCAGGGTGTGGCCACGGTGCTGGAGTGTGGCTGTGCCAGGGTGTGGCCACGGTGCTGGAGTGTGGCTGTGCCAGGGTGTGGCCACGGTGCTGGAGTGTGGCTGTGCCAGGGTGTGGCCACGGTGCTGGAGTGTGGCTGTGCCAGGGTGTGGCCACGGTGCTGGAGTGTGGCTGTGCCAGGGTGTGGCCACGGTGCTGAAGTGCGGCTGTGCCAGGGTGTGGCCACGGTGCTGTAGTGTGGCTATGGCAGGGTGTGTCCACGGTGCTGAAGTGCGGCTGTGCCAGGGTGTGGCCACGGTGCTGTAGTGTGGCTGTGCCAGGGTGTGGCCACGGTGCTGTAGTGTGGCTATGGCAGGGTGTGTCCACGGTGCTGTAGTGTGGCTGTGCCAGGGTGTGGCCACGGTGCTGGAGTGTGGCTGTGCCAGGGTGTGGCCACGGTGCTGGAGTGTGGCTGTGCCAGGGTGTGGCCACGGTGCTGGAGTGTGGCTGTGCCAGGGTGTTGCCACGGTGCTGTAGTGTGGCTGTGCCAGGGTGTGGCCACGGTGCTGAAGTGCGGCTGTGCCAGGGTGTGGCCACGGTGCTGTAGTGTGGCTGTGCCAGGGTGTGGCCACGGTGCTGAAGTGCGGCTGTGCCAGGGTGTGGCCACGGTGCTGGAGTGTGGCTGTGCCAGGGTGTGGCCACGGTGCTGGAGTGTGGCTGTGCCAGGGTGTGGCCACGGTGCTGAAGTGCGGCTGTGCCAGGGTGTGGCCACGGTGCTGTAGTGTGGCTATGGCAGGGTGTGTCCACGGTGCTGAAGTGCGGCTGTGCCAGGGTGTGGCCACGGTGCTGTAGTGTGGCTATGGCAGGGTGTGGCCACGGTGCTGTAGTGTGGCTATGGCAGGGTGTGGCCACGGTGCTGTAGTGTGGCTATGGCAGGGTGTGGCCACGGTGCTGTAGTGTGGCTATGGCAGGGTGTGGCCACGGTTGTAGAGTGTGGCTGTGCCAGGGTGTGGCCACGGGTGGCTAGAGTCTGGCTGTGCCAGGGTGTGGCAACGATGCTAGAGTGTGGCTGTGCCAGGGTGTGGCAACGGTGCTTGGGTGTGGCTGTGCCAGGGTGTGGCCACGGTGCTAGGGTGTGGTTGTGCCAGGGTGTGGCCACGGTGCTAGAGTCTGGCTGTAGCAGGGTGTGGCCACGGTGCTAGAGTCTGGCTGTGCCAAGGTGTGGCCACGATGCTGGAGTGTGGCTGTGCCAGGGTGTGGCCACGGTGCTGGAGTGTGGCTGTACCAGGGTGTGGCCACGGTGCTAGGGTGTGGCTGTGACAGGGTGTGGCCACGGTGCTAGGGTGTGGCTGTGCCAAGGTGTGGCCACGGTGCTGGAGTGTGGCTGTACCAGGATGTGGCCACGGTGCTAGAGTGTGGCTGTGCCAGGGTGTGGCCACGGTGCTAGAGTGTGGCTGTGCCAGGGTGTGGCCACGGTGCTGGAGTGTGGCTGTACCAGGGTGTGGCCACGGTGCTAGAGTCTGGCTGTGCCAAGGTGTGGCCACAGGTGGCTAGAGTCTGGCTGTGCCAGGGTGTGGCCACGGTGCTAGGGTGTGGCTGTGGCAGGGTGTGGCCACGGTGCTAGGGTGTGGCTGTGGCAGGGTGTGACCACGGTGCTAGAGTCTGGCTGTGCCAGGGTGTGGCCACGGTGCTAGAGTGTGGCTGTACCAGGGCGTGGCCACGGTGCTAGGGTGTGGCTGTACCAGGGTGTGGCCACGGTGCTAGGGTGTGGCTGTGGCAGGGTGTGACCACGGTGCTAGAGTCTGGCTGTGCCAGGGTGTGGCCACGGTGCTGGAGTGTGGGTGTGCCAGGGTGTGGCCACGGTGCTGGAGTGTGGCTGTGCCAGGGTGTGGCCACGGTGCTAGGGTGTGGCTGTGGCAGGGTGTGACCACGGTGCTAGGGTGTGGCTGTGGCAGGGTGTGACCACGGTGCTAGAGTCTGGCTGTGCCAGGGTGTGGCCACGGTGCTAGAGTGTGGCTGTACCAGGGTGTGGCCACGGTGCTAGGGTGTGGCTGTACCAGGGTGTGGCCACAGGTGGCTAGCGTCAGACTGTAGTAGAGAGTCGAACCATGACCAGGATGTGGTCAAACGCAACGTAACCCCCAGAACCAAAAAAAAATAACGAAAATAAAACGATTGAAGAACAATTTTCTAGAACAAATAACATCTTGAAATCGAAGGCAAACAAGACATAACGTAACCTGGGAGCAGCAGCAGCACCACCGCTCTGGGAACAGCTCTATAGAGCGCAGTTATCGGAACACAAGAGCAATTCAAGACGACGCCCGCGGCTCCTTAACAAGCTACTTACCCAACGATTCCCGATACTGTGGGAGGAACGATGATTTATTTAATATGTAGTTGTGTAGGTGTGGTGCCACGGCACTTGTGGCACTTGTCGCCACGGCACTTGTGGGGTACTTGTTGCCACGGCACTTGTGGGGCACTTGTTGCCACGGCACTTGTGGGGCATTTGTTGCCACGGCACTTGTGGGGCATTTGTTGCCACGGCACTTGTGGGGTACTTGTCGCCACGGCACTTGTGGGGCACTTGTTGCCACGGCACTTGGGGGGCACTTGTTGCAACGGCACTTGTGGGGTACTTGTTGCCACGGCACTTGTGGGACATTTGTTGCCACGGCACTTGTGGGGCACTTGTCGCCACGGCACTTGTGGGGCACTTGTTGCCACGGCACTTGTGGGGTACTTGTTGCCACGGCACTTGTGGGGTACTTGTCGCCACGGCACTTGTGGGGCACTTGTTGCCACGGCACTTGTGGGGCATTTGTTGCCACGGCACTTGTGGGGCACTTGTTGCCACGGCACTTGTGGGGCACTTGTTGCCACGGCACTTGTGGGGCACTTGTTGTCACGGCACTTGCGGGGCATTTGTTGCCACGGCACTTGTGGGGCACTTGTTGCCACGGCACTTGTGGGGCACTTGTTGCCACGGCACTTGTGGGGCACTTGTTGCCACGGCACTTGTGGGGCACTTGTTGCCACGGCACTTGTGGGGCACTTGGTGCCACGGCACTTGTGGGGCACTTGGTGCCACGGCACTTGTGGGGCACTTGGTGCCACGGCACTTGTGGGGCACTTGGTGCCACGGCACTTGTGGGGTACTTGTTGCCACGGCACTTGTGGGGTACTTGTTGCCACGGCACTTGTGGGGCACTTGTTGCCACGGCACTTGTGGGGTACTTGTTGCCACGGCACTTGTGGGGCACTTGTTGCTACGGCACTTGTGGTGTACTTGTTGCCACGGCACTTGTGGGGCACTTGTTGCCACGGCACTTGTGGGGCTTGTCGCCACGGCACTTGTGGGGTACTTGTTGCCACGGCACTTGTGGGGCTTGTTGCCACGGCACTTGTGGGGCACTTGTTGCCACGGCACTTGTGGGGCACTTGTTGTCACGGCACTTGTGGGGCACTTGTTGCCACGGCACTTGTGGGGCTTGTTGCCACGGCACTTGTGGGGCACTTGTTGTCACGGCACTTGTGGGGCTTGTTGCCACGGCACTTGTGGGGTACTTGTTGCCACGGCACTTGTGGGGCACTTGTGGGGCACTTGTTGTCACGGCACTTGTGGGGCACTTGTTGCCACGGCACTTGTGGGGCACTTGTGGGGCACTTGTTGTCACGGCACTTGTGGGGCTTGTTGCCACGGCACTTGTGGGGTACTTGTTGCCACGGCACTTGTGGGGCACTTGTTGTCACGGCACTTGTGGGGCACTTGTTGTCACGTCACTTGTGGGGCACTTGTTGCCACGGCACTTGTGGGGCACTTGTTGTCACGGCACTTGTGGGGCACTTGTTGTCACGGCACTTGTGGGGCACTTGTTGTCACGGCACTTGTGGGACACTTGTTGCCACGGCACTTGTGGGGCACTTGTTGTCACGGCACTTGTGGGGCACTTGTTGTCACGGCACTTGTGGGGCACTTGTTGTCACGGCACTTGTGGGGCACTTGTTGCCACGGCACTTGTGGGGCACTTGTTGTCACGGCACTTGTGGGGCACTTGTTGTCACGGCACTTGTGGGGCACTTGTTGTCACGGCACTTGTGGGGCACTTGTTGTCACGGCACTTGTGGGGCACTTGTTGCCACGGCACTTGTGGGGCACTTGTTGTCACGGCACTTGTGGGGCACTTGTTGTCACGGCACTTGTGGGGCACTTGTTGTCACGGCACTTGTGGGGCACTTGTTGCCACGGCACTTGTGGGGCTTGTCGCCACGGCACTTGTGGGGTACTTGTTGCCACGGCACTTGTGGGGTACTTGTTGTCACGGCACTTGTGGGGCACTTGTTGTCACGGCACTTGTGGGGTACTTGTTGCCACGGCACTTGTGGGGTACTTGTTGCCACGGCACTTGTGGGGTACTTGTTGCCACGGCACTTGTGGGGTACTTGTTGTCACGGCACTTGTGGGGCACTTGTTGCCACGGCACTTGTGGGGCTTGTTGCCACGGCACTTGTGGGGCACTTGTTGCCACGGCACTTGTGGGGTACTTGTTGTCACGGCACTTGTGGGGCACTTGTTGTCACGGCACTTGTTGCCACGGCACTTGTGGGGTACTTGTTGCCACGGCACTTGTGGGGTACTTGTTGTCACGGCACTTGTGGGGTACTTGTTGTTACGGCACTTGTGGGGTACTTGTTGTCACGGCACTTGTGGGGCACTTGTTGCCACGGCACTTGTGGGGCTTGTTGCCACGGCACTTGTGGGGCACTTGTTGCCACGGCACTTGTGGGGCATTTGTTGCCACGGCACTTGTGGGGCACTTGGCGCCACGGCACTTGTGGGGCACTTGTTGCCACGGCACTTGTGGGGCACTTGTTGCCACGGCACTTGGGGGGCACTTGTTGCAACGGCACTTGTGGGGCACTTGGTGCCACGGCACTTGTGGGGCACTTGTGGGACACTTGTTGCCACGGCACTTGTGGGGCACTTGTCGCCACGGCACTTGTTGCCACGGCACTTGTCGCCACGGCACTTGTAGGGCACTCGTCGCCACGACACTTGTTGCCACGGCAACATAGGAACTCTGCCCACTTGTGTCCTCCTCCGCCGGGGATCGATCCCCGGACCCTAGGACTACGAATCCCGAGTGCTGTCCTCTCAGCCGTCAGGCCCCTGTGAATCTGTGTAGTATGTCTGTCTCTCTATTACTGTAATATAGGAGTCACGAATCGGTATAACTCAAAAGAGGTAACGAGTATTCGAACATTTCGATCACTAAACGAATTTTTGTCAACGAAATTTTGATTCGCTAATAATATTTAGAGAATTGTCTTCAGTGAATCAATACCTTTTAAGGGTCTTAACATTGCTCACGAATGAGCAATGTTCCAGGTACAGGGGATCTGTACCCTGATTAATTCACCGGATAGTGAGGGGTCATTGTACTGTTGTTTTTATTCCCAACATGTACATCATTATTTTACACTTGCACAAGTCAAGTGCACTTTCACAAAAACACACGCATAAACTCACATATGTACAACACTATTTCACAAAAATGCACACACACACACATTTCCCCAAATCAAATGCTCATTCACACCATTTACACTTGCTCAAAAAATCACTTTCACAAAATATCATTTTTCACAAAATATAATATTTTCACAAAATATAAAATTTTCACAAAATATAGCATTTTCACAAAATATAACATTTTCACAAAATATAACATTTTCACAAAATATAACATTTTCACAAAATATCACATTTTAACAAAATATCACATTTTAACAAAATATAACATTTTCACAAAATATAACATTTTCACAAAATATAACATTTTCACAAAATATAACATTTTTACAAAATATAACATTTTCACAAAATATAACATTTTCACAAAATATAACATTTTCACAAAATATAACATTTTCACAAAATATAACATTTTCACAAAATATAAAATTTTCACAAAATATAGCATTTTCACAAAATATAACATTTTCACAAAATATAAAATTTTCACAAAATATCACATTTTAACAAAATATCACATTTTAACAAAATATAACATTTTCACAAAATATAACATTTTCACAAAATATAACATTTTCACAAAATATAGCATTTTCACAAAATATAACATTTTCACAAAATATAAAATTTTCACAAAATATCACATTTTAACAAAATATAACATTTTCACAAAATATAACATTTTCACAAAATATAACATTTTCACAAAATATAACATTTTCACAAAATATAACATTTTCACAAAATATAACATTTTCACTAAAATATCAATGACACATTGCACAATTCAAACACATTATCAAAATACATACATACCTGCACACATTAAACACAGCTTCACAAAAATAACACTTGCTTCCCGTGACAATGTGACAAATGGCTACTAGAGTTCAACACACGCAAGTGTAAAGTTATGGAAATAGTAATAGAAAGACAGGAGGCCAAAGGGGAAACTACTTATACCTGTGACGACTCGAGAAAGAGACCCCGAGAGTGGACGTAATATCAAATCTAATAATGTGTTTAGAGACGAGTTGAAGATTGCGCCATCTTGGGCGGACCATATTGTGATGGATGTAATTTGCATTATGTGCCATGTGTGATATCGGTGCCAGGTTAAGACTGGTGCTGAAGGGTGCCAACAGTGGGAATCATAGCACACATTAAATCGTAATTATTGGGTATTTTGATTTGTATTATTTATTTGTATTTTAATTGGATATTTGAAACCAGTCTATCTCTCACTTCCCCTTCTCCCTCCCCCTGTCTCTCACCCACTATTTCCCCTGACCACTTCTCTCCCCCTCTACCTTCCCCTCTCCACCTCTACCTTCCCCTCTCCACCTCTACCTTCCCCTCTCCACTATCTTCCTCCACTACCTTTCTGGTCCCTTTTACCTTCTCTCTTTCTTTCTCTTTCATGCCACTCTCCACCTCACACCACTTCTCCTTACTCCCCTTTCAACTCTCGCTCTCACTCTCACTTTCCCCTCACTTCCCTTCTGACTCCTCTTCTCTCCTCTACACCCTCTCTTCCAATACCTCCCCTCTCCACTTTCTCTCACAAATTTCCCAATATACTCTTTTCTACCTTTCTGTACCTTTCCTCATTCTCCTCTTACTTGACTCTTTGACGCTAATGTGCCAGAGAGAGAGAGAGAGAGAGAGAGAGAGAGAGAGAGAGAGAGAGAGAGAGAGAGAGAGAGAGAGAGAGAGAGAGAGAGAGAGAGAGAGACAGAGAGAGAGAGAGAGAGAGAGAGCCCAGGTAGCTGGAGGCAGCTTCTCAAGGTGAGGAAGACGGTCTCTAATCTCCAGGAGTCAACATCATCTTAACTTCAAGATGCTGAGGGTCGTCACATCCTCTCTCTCTCTCTCTCTCTCTCTCTCTCTCTCTCTCTCTCTCTCTCTCTCTCTGCTCTCTCTCTCTCTCTCTCTCTCTCTCTCTCTCTCTCCTTTTTGCCTTCCTTCTTACTTCCGTCACTCTTCCTTTTCTACCCACGGCTTTTAATATTATCTCACGAGCCATGACAGACAGAACACAACAAAAGTGAACATTGAGTGTGTGTATACAGTTATAAGCTGGGTACACGCACGTCTGTGTGTGTATGTGTGTGTGTGTGTGTGTGTGTGTGCGTGTGTGCGTGTGTGCGTGTGTGCGTGTGTGTGTGTGTGTGTGTGTGTGTGTGTGTGTGTGTGTGTGTGTGTGTGTGTGTGTGGAGGCTCAGGTCCTCGAACTAGGGAATGATAATATTTGGGTCTAGAAGGATAGTCCTATAATTCACCTCTCTTACACGATCAAGTTTGGTAGGGGATAGACGTGAGAATAGGGTTAGAGAGGGAGCTCTAAGAGGAAAAGGGAAAGCAGGGAAGGAGGTAACTGTAGAGGGAAGGGGGTGGGAGGGAGGAGGAGGAGGCCGAGGACTCTAATGGAGTTTCGAGATAATGAACAATGGGAAAGGAAATGCAAGAGTGCAGAGGATAAGGTATTCCAGAGGTTGTAGAGGACATACAGGAGCTGTAGAGGGTTAGGGGGATACAGGAGCTGTAGAGGGTAAGAGAGGGAAGAGGGGATAGGGGAGGAGAGAAGGGGAGGAATAGGGGATGTAAAGTTGTTAAGTGCCAAGATAGGACCCCCGGGCGGAGGAGCGAGGGAGGGATGATAGGTATATTAAACTCTAATCTATGAGCGATTACTTCATGGCACCGCGTCATCCACGAGGGGTGCCAGTGCCACGGTGGAGGGGGGGCAGGGTTGCCAGTGCCACAGTGGAGGGGGGCAGGGCTGCCAGTGCCACGGTGGAGGGGGGGCAGGGCTGCCAGTGCCACGGTGGAGGGGGGCAGGGCTGCCAGTGCCACGGTGGAGGGGGGGCAGGGCTGCCAGTGCCACGGTGGAGGGGGGGCAGGACTGCCAGTGCCACGGTGGAGGGGGAGCAGGACTGCCAGTGCCACGGTGGAGGGGGGCAGGGCTGTCAGTGCCACGGTGGAGGGGGGCAGGACTGCCAGTGCCACGGTGGAGGGGGGGCAGGGCTGCCAGTGCCACGGTGGAGGGGGGCAGGACTGCCAGTGCCACGGTGGAGGAGGGGCAGGGCTGCCAGTGCCACGGTGGAGGGGGGCAGGGTTGCCAGTGCCACGGTGGAGGGGGGCAGGACTGCCAGTGCCACGGTGGAGGGGGGGCAGGGCTGCCAGTGCCACGGTGGAGGGGGGCAGGACTGCCAGTGCCACGGTGGAGGGGGGCAGGGCTACCAGTGCCACGGTGGAGGGGGGGCAGGACTGCCAGTGCCACGGTGGAGGGGGGGCAGGGCTGCCAGTGCCACGGTAAAGAGGGGGGGCTCCCAGTGCCACGGTGGAGGGGGGGCAGGGCTGCCAGTGCCACGGTGGAGGGGGGGCAGGGCTGCCAGTGCCACGGTGGAGGGGGGGCAGGGCTGCCAGTGCCACGGAGGAGGGGGGGCAGGGCTGCCAGTGCCACGGTGGAGGGGGCAGGACTGCCAGTGCCACGGTGGAGGGGGGCAGGGCTGCCAGTGCCACGGTGGAGGGGGGCAGGACTGCCAGTGCCACGGTGGAGGGGGGCAGGGCTGCCAGTGCCACGGTGGAGGGGGGCAGGGCTGCCAGTGCCACGGTGGAGGGGGCAGGGCTGCCAGTGCCACGGTGGAGGGGGGCAGGGCTGCCAGTGCCACGGTGGAGGGGGGCAGGGCTGCCAGTGCCACGGTGGAGGGGGGGGCAGGGCTGCCAGTGCCACGGTGGAGGGGGGCAGGGCTGCCAGTGCCACGGTGGAGGGGGGCAGGGCTGCCAGTGCCACGGTGGAGGGGGGCAGGGCTCCCAGTGCCACGGTGGAGGATTACAAAGAGCAAAGAATGACGAAAAAGAGGAATGTGACGGTAATTTCTAATAGAGAAAAATGAGAGAGAAAGAAGGAATATCATTGTTTACGGTGTTTCATTATGTTTACCGAGAGGTGCAGTTTAGACAGAAATATAGTGAGGAAAAAACAAGGTGCAAACCTGAAAAATTGTTTACGTTACGGCAACTTTCCTGGATTTCTGTGATTTTGCATATATTTGTCATTGCAAATCGACTGTAACAATATCCGCCAGCTTACGATAAGCAATGGCATGACAGACTAGTTCAGAAGACTGCCGAGAGGGCGTCTTGGAGGAGGCGCAAGACTCAGGCACAACACAATATATACCCAGACACATATGGGATGATTTAACACACGGGGGTGGGGGGGTGGGGTTGGAGTGGGGGAAAATATGGAGCCTAAGCCCCTGGTTCTTGTGGAAGAGGGAAGGAAGGGGACACCATAACATGGAGAACACTTTCCCATACCTTGAAAGGCGACCTGCTCTCTCCCTCCCTCTTCTCACACATAAGGAATATGCAACATAATAGAACAGGTGTCTGAGGTTTATGTCTCTCTCTTTCTCTCTCTCTCTCTCTCTCTCTCTCTCTCTCTCTCTCTCTCTCTCTCTCTCTCTCTCTCTCTCTCTCTCTCTCTCTCTCTCTCTCTCTCTCTCTCTCTCTCTCCTCCTCCTCCTTCC